CCAGGATACAATAGAGGACAAGAAGGTGCTGCTGGATGAGCAACATGGATTCAGGCCGGGCCATGGCACTAACACACTCACCACCCGGCTGACCACAAGGATCCAACAAAGGATAAACCGCCCGAGAAACGGTCTAGGAGCCGTCTTCCTAGACATGTCAAAGGCGTTTGACAAAGTTTGGCACCAGGCCCTGATAGCCAAGATGATAACAGCCGGCTTTCCGGGACACCAAACTAAGCTCATCAGCAGCTACCTATCTGGACGCAGCTTCCAGGTCAAAATCGAGAACCAGCACTCAACCAGTAGACCAGTGATGTCAGGAGTACCGCAAGGATTAGTTTTGGGCCCTACTCTCTTCAACATATACATGGCAGACTTTCCAACCAACGCCAATACAGAGTGCTACATATATGCAGACGATGTAGCACTCACTGCCGCAGGGAAAGGCCGTAACATGACCACTAGACTCCAAAGACATCTCGGCCAGGTCCCGCAATGGAGCAGGATCTGGAAAAGGGAGTTTAACTCGGAGAAACCGCAAGCCATTTTCTTCACCAGCGGCTCCAAGACGCCTCCAACCATACTAGAGCTTGCAGGACAGCGGCTGCCCTGGAGGTCCTAGGTAAACTATCTTGGACTTATCTACGACAAGCGACTGGTATGGCACGACCAGATGACAGCCACAACAGCAAAGGCAAGATACCTGCTCCAGGCCTACTATCATCTGGTGACAGGAAAGCTCTACCTGAGAACAAAGGTTTGAGCTTACAAACAGCTAATCCGTCCGGTGCTGACCTATGGATCAACTGCATGGTCACGGCCAGCATCACGCAAAAGAAGAAGGTGGCGGTAATTCAAAACAAGATCTTGAGGATGGCAGCCAAGGCCCCGTACTTTGTCAGAAATGCCACCCTGCAAAGAGACCTGAACAAAGAAGACCTGCTGGAGCATTTCCGGAACTTAACAACAAAGTTTCTGGATAATGCCCGGCAAAGCAACAATCCCACTGTCCGGGTTTCTTGCTCCAATAAATTTCACAGTGACCGCAGGCTTCTCTCTGCGGACACTGTCTAAGAATAAGACGTGGACCACATGCGATGACCAGTTCCAGCACCATATCGAGGACCATGGACTAACTTTAGGTTAGATCTAGGAATCAAGAGAGGATGTAGTAGGCTTAAGTTTTTCTTTTTAAGTAGAATAAGGTAGACGGCATTTGTACAATATTAAGTTAGTTGTTAATTTGTTAACATTGTTTACCAATATCCGACATGGAGTCCCTAGAGGACCTGGACTAGCTGTAAGTTAGCTTAGGTAGCAAGAGAGG